TTCCCACAATAACCACCCTGTGAGGTTGACCTCAACCCATCTCACAGGTTGTTATTGTGGGAACATAGGAGGAAGAAGAATTTGTGTTGGATGTATTCACCCCCTTGAATTGTTTGAAAAAATAATAAAAGCAGGATACAAATAAATAGAATAATCAATAATAATGTAATGTAAAAAAGATGTTGAGACTCTAGAAAGAGTGCAGAGAAGAGCAATAGAGATGATCAGGGGACTGGAGGCCAAAGCATATAAGGAAAGGCTGCTGGAATTGGGTATGTCTAGTTTAATGAAGAGAAGGACGAGGGGGGACATGATAGCAGCCTTCCAGTATCTCAGGGGCTGCCCCAAAGAAGAGGGAGTCAAGCTCTTCTCCAAAGCATCAGAAGGCAGGACAAGAAGCAACGGATGGAAACTCATCAAGGAGAGAAGCAACCTAGAACTAAGGAGGAATTTCATGACAGAACAATTAACCAGTGGAACCACCTGCCTCCAGAAGCGGTGAATGCTCCAACACTGGAAGTTTTTAAGAAGAGACTGGACAGCCATTTGTCTGAAATGGTATAGGGTTTCCTGCCTGAGCAGGGGGTTGGACTAGAAGACCTCCAAGGTCCCTTCCAATTTTTTTTTTTATTATTATTATTATTATCATTATTATTATCATCATCATCATCATCATCATCATCATCATCATCATCATCATCATTGTTATTGTTATCATTATTATATTATTATCATCATCATCATTATCATTATCATTATTATTATTATCATTATCATCATTATTATCATTATCATTATTATTCTAAAAATATTGCTTCATAGGCAGGCAGTCCTCATCCATAAACCATTTATTATTATTATTATTATTATTATTATTATTATTATTATTATTATTATTATTATTATTATTATTATTATTATCATTATCATCATCATCATCATCATCATCATCATCATCATTATCATCATTATCATTATTATCATTATCATTCCAAAAATATTGCTTCATAGGCAGGCAGTCCTCGTCTTTAAACTGTTCATTCAACGGCCCTGAAAAAAATGACCTGCACCCAGTTCTCACACTTAAGACCGTTTCAGCACCCACACGGAACCCGCTATCAAAGTTTAGGCTCTCGGCCTGTATTTACAACAATTGCGGCATCCCCCGATAGCCGTTTGTGACTTTCCCGGCTGCCTGGTGACAAGTAAAAGCCGCAGACAAATGAAAGGGAGATTCACCTGCTTCACGGCATCCTTGCAGGCAGCTTTCAGCTCTGCGACTCTTGTGGGCGACACTTTCGATTGAGGCCTCCCTTGATGTTGGCTAATCTTGGGGAGATTCCGGCATGTGCCGCTGGGGGCCCTGCATGGAAAAAGAAGGATTGTAGTGGAGCATTTTTCTGAATGCGGTAAAGGATCCGAGGCCCGCCGGGGACATGGACAGGCGAGAGTGCCGACGATTAGAGTCCCATTGGTTGCCGTAATAGGCTAATAAAAGCCCCTCTCCATTGATATTGGTGAACTGGTGTAAGAAAAACAGCCTAGTTTTAAATACCGGAAAAACCAAAGAGATCATTGTCGATTTCAGAAAAGGCAGGCACAGCCATACTCCTCTGTGCATTAATGATCACCTGTAGAGATGGTTACCAGCATCAAATTCCTGGATGTGCAGTTAACAAGTAGGCTGGCCTGGTCGCTCAACAGCGAGACACTGGTGAAGCGGGCACAGCAGCGCCTACATTTTCTGCGTCGCATGAGAAAAGCACATCTTCCTTCCCCTGTCCTCACCACTTTCTACAGAGGGACGATCAAGAGCATCCTGTCATACAGCATCACGGTCTAGTTTGGAGGCATCCCTGCTTCAGACAGGAAGGCGGTGCAGAGAGTGGTGAGGACGGCAGAAAAGATCATTGGCAGTTCCCTCCCTCCCATCCAGGACGTGGCACAGAAGCGTTGCTTGAGCAGAGTCCGTAAGATAATCTGGGATGCTACACATCCTCTTCACGACCTGTTTTCCTTGTTACCTTCTAGGAGGAGGCTTTGTGATATCCGTAGCAGAACATCCAGATTCAGCCACAGTTTCGTTCCATACAGCATTAACCTTGCAAACTCTCAAGCTTCCTTCTTCCGTTATATATTCAAGATGAACAGTATTTGATATTTATTTCTTACGTATATGTAGGGGTGTGGGTCTATACGTATGTTGTATATAGTACGTTTAGGTGTGTGTCATGTATGTGTTTCACTTTGAGAGCGGGCAACTAAATTTCATTATTCGATGTGTGCCGTTGTGCCCTCAGTAAAAAAAAAATGACAATAAAGGTTATCTTATCTTATCTATCTTATATTTTATTTTTCTTTTAACGACCCTGTAAATCCCTTGCATCAGGGTGGAGTTGGGACAACTGAATGGAGCTGAGTGTTTGCCGGCCGGATGCCCTTCCTGATGCCTATGCGGAGTTCACAGCAGAATATTTTCTCTTTGTACCCAGTGTGGAAAACAAAAATATCGCCTATTGTTCTTCTATGCAAGGTTTAGGTCCAGGTGAGTTAAATCATGGAAAAAGTATTGAGCCAAAGTCTGTGCTAGGCTTAATTTTGCAGTTGGCAACTGTGTTTTACTTAATATGATTCTGCTAAGCTTGCTTGTTTCAGATATATTTAGAACATAAGGACTGGAACTGTGAGACGTGGGGAACTGAAAGTAACTGATGGATGCAGGTTCCGATGTACACGAGTATGTGGAAAGTTATGTTCAGCAGAGGGTCAGCAAAAAGTCAGCAGAAAGTGTAAGATTGCTGACGATTTGTCCATGGTTTTAGGATGAGAAAGGGTATAAAAGGTTGGGACTGGACCTGATTGATTTGCCACTGGCTTCTAACTGCCCTTGTTGGACCTGCTATGTTACTGGACCTCATTGCAATGGGTTACTAATGTAAGTGATGTTGTGTTATTATGTTTGCTATGTTCCAAATGATTAGCAAAAGAAAGCTCTGAATCTTGAAGTAAGAATGACTGTTTTGTGTTGCTGTCTCTTGTCTTTTTCATTGGGTTTTTCCATGACACCAGAGAGAAATATATCTCTACCCAAGACCCCCTCTACTCTTACTATCTTGTAATGTTTTAATATTTATCCTAGATTTTTTGCCCGCCCAAATAAATTTATTTATTATTTTATCCAATTCTTTAAAAAAAAATGTCTCTAATTTTATTGGGATTGTTTGAAATAAATACAATAACCTTGGTAGAATATTCATTTTAATCAATGCAATTCTACCTAATAGTGATAATTGGACTAGTTTTAAGAGATTCGGAGACATTGGTTTGTCCAAAATAATGCAGAGTAAGACGGGATAGTTTGGCTCCAAATGGCTCATCTTGGTTCAACCACCTCATTTCTAAGGCTGACTTGAAACATTTCTTTCAACCACATGGCTCTTGATGGTTTTGAACCAGGTTACCCAAAACAGGGTCTTCCCCCAAGCCAGGGGTCTTCAAACCTGGCCTTTTATGACTGGTGGACTTCAACTCCCAGAATTCCTCAGCCAGGCACCAGTCATAAAAAGGACATGTTTGAAGACCCCTGGTCTGGATCCAAGCCCGCAGTTTCATCAAAATGGCCAACTGAGGAATTCTGGGAGTTGAAGTCCACCAGTCATAAAAGGGCCAAGTTGAAAGACCCCTGGTCTGGATCCAAGGCCGCACTTTCATCAAAATGGCCGACTGAGGAATTCTGGGAGTTGAAGTCCACCAGTCATAAAAGGGCCAAGTTGAAAGACCCCTTCCCCAAGCCTTAAGATTTACTATATTCTCCATTCAAGATGATTTACGCTCTACTGAGGAGGACAGAACAGCACAGAAAGATAGAAAACAGAAACTTCATTTTGGCAAAGTCTTTGCCGGATCCTTCCATCTCGTGTGTCAGGTGGAGCACTTTCTCTTCTCCCAAGCCTTTTTTAATTGCTGGTGCAGGCTACAAAAAATCTCAGTTCTGAAATCTGAATTGTTTTATTATTCTATCATGTGTTGCTTCCCCAACATTAAGAGAACTCATCAACAGAGAGCAACTGAATTTTCTCTCGTGAATTCCTTTCGTTTCCTTCTGCTGCAATTCTGTATTATCCTCCATACCAGAGGTGTTCATAAGACTGGGGGGAGGGGTGGGAAGAAAAGATGGTGGCTTTGGCCACCTGGTCAATAGGTGAGGCTTTGATCATGCGGCTACAATTGCCATCTTGATTTTTTGGACCCCCTCTGCAGCTGCCCCTGCTTCTATCTATTCATCCATCATCTCTCTCTCTCTCTCTCTCTCTCTCTCTCTCTCTCTCTCTCTCTCCATCCACTATCTACCTTATGCTACTCTACTCTACCCTACCCTACTCTACCCTACTTTACTCTATTCTACTCTACTCTACCCTACTCTACCCTACTCTACTTTACTCTACCCTACTCTATCCTACCCTATTCTACCCTACCCTATCCTTCCCTACTCTACTCTGCCCTACTTTACTTAACCCTCCCCTACCCTACTCTATCCTACCCTCCCCTACCCTACTTTTCCCTTACTCTATTCTACCCTACCCTACCCCACTCTAATTTACTCTACCCTACCCTACTCTACTTTACTCTACCCTACTCTACCCTACCCTTCCCTACTCTACCCTACTTTACTCTACCCTACCCTACTCTATCCTACCCTACTCTACTCTACTTTACCATACCCTCCCTATCTATCTATCTATCTATCTATCTATCTATCTATCTATCTATCTATCATCTATCTATCCATCCATCCATCCATCCATCCATCCATCCATCCATCCATGCATCCATCCATCCATCCATCCATCCATCATCCATACAAAACGCTTAACATGTTGAATGCAATACCATTTGCATTTCAGAAGTGGGGGAGGAAATTAAATGAATCAATAAATGTGGCTACTGAAGAATTATTACCGAAGGCCATCCAGCAGCTACATTTCTCTTACCTTTTTGCTTTCCCTCCACTTCTTGATTTATTATCTGCTGTGGAAGAGGAGAAAACAGCAGTTAACAAAAATAGTAAATATTACTTTGAACAGAAACAGAATCTTCCTAACAAGGAGGACAATTAACCAGTGGAACAGCTTGCCTCCAGAAATCTTGGGCATCACTGGAGATTTTTTTTAAGAAGAGACTGGACAGTCACTTGTCTGAGACGGTATAGGTTCTCCCACTTGAGCAGGGGGCTGGACTAGAAGGCCTCCAAGGTCCCTCCCAGCTCTATTCTATTCTATTCAAAACAAACAGAAATCATTCTGAGCAACGCAACCTACTAGAGTCGACAACTTTCTTGGTAATCTTGGGGTACTTTTGAAACTTGACGTAGTAGTAGCTCTCATATTCCATCAAAATGGTCTCCAGATCGACGTTGTCGCACACTTCAAAACGGCGCAGCCCACCTTTTGCTTCTTGCTCCAGTGCATTAGCAGCGTCTACGTACCTGGGAGTGACAGATTTGGAAAATGTCAGCATGTGATTGAACCTTCAGAACGGTAGTTATTTCAGACGCAAGTTTTATACAGGAAAAAAAAGAGAGAGAGAGAGAGGGGGGAAAAAGTATAAAACTGGACCGAGGATCGCCAATTCAGGAATCAACTCTCTGCATTTTTTTTTTTATTTTGCAAATGTTTGGATTTCAACTCCAGTTGTGCTGAGTCATATTGGCTGGGACTGATGGGAACTCCAGGAGGGAAGAAAGCTGACCTTCATTATAGCAAACTCTTAGGAAATTGTCTTATGGCAAGAATTATATTTTCGTACTGTGCATCTTACAGAGCGAAGGAATGCTTACCCTTCTTCCGTTAAATAATGTAAAATCAAAATGAGCAGGTTTTTGCGCCGGGCTTCTGTTCGTGTGTGCTCCTTTAAAACAAAAAGAGAGAAAACGATAAAATATATAGCTCTATGCAAAGTAAGCTTTGCTGACTGTAGACTGTAGGTTTCCTGGGAAAAATCAGCCAATGTTTTAGCAGGGTTTTTATTATTATTATTATTATTATTATTATTATTATTATTATTATTATTATTATTATTATTATACGATAGATAAGATAAGATAACCTTTATTGTCATTATAAGACTAATGCCATGGTTCAGACAGAAGTTCTTCAAAAGAACTTCGAGACATTGTTTACCTTAAAGAATCTTTATTTTGAGTAGCATAGCATCGGCACTGACATAATCAAAGCCAAAAACTGAATTCCCCTCACCTGGGCACCTAGTATCAAAGCACAAAGCATAGGACAGGACAAGAGAAGAGAAGGACCAGGTGCAAGGTGAATGGACCTGGTTACAGGGGTGATGGGGGCACTGCTGGAAAACCTGAAGGACCAGGTCAGGGACAGCTTGTCATGGAGACAATCTGTCTAGGTCAAGGGTCTTCAAACTTGGCCCTTTGATGACTGGTGGACTTCAACTCCCAGAATTCCGCGTGCCTGGCTGAGGAATTCTGGGAGTTGAAGTCCACCAGTCATCAAAGGGCCAAGTTGGAAGAGCCCTGCATTATGTGATGCCCCAAGGTAAGAAGAGCAGGTTGGGGACAGAGCATAGCTGGCTGGGGAATTCTGGGAGTTGAAGTCCACACCTCTTAAAAGTTGCCCAGGTTGAGGGAAACTGTGCTGGACTAGAAGACCTCCAAGGTCCCTTCCAGCTCTATTCTATTCTATTCTTAAAATGGCCGAGGTTGAGAAACACCAGTTTAGCTCTTTCTGAATTAGCATTATTTC